TGTGCCTGGAGACAATGTATATGGGAGACAATGTGTACTGTGTACAGCACAATTAACCCCATAGCAATCAGTAGGGCAAGATTATAAAAAAAGATTTTATTCTAACTGATACAGAAAGTAGCAAGAAATATTTAGAAAAAAAAAATTTATAAAGAGTAAGGGATATTTCTATATGGAAAATTAAGTGAAAGTATAGGAGAAGTAATTGGGGTAAGAGGGCACTGTGTATAAAACTGATTTTAAGGCTCTTTCAATTATAAAAGCAACATAATTTACTGATGTTCTGATATATTTGAATCAAATATTATTGATTTGCCATTTGTTTACAGAACACTATGATTTTGGAATTATACTTTCATACCTCAACTTGTACACATGCTGATACTCAGATTTGTTTTTTATAAGTTTATTTGTAGATAATGAACTTTTTTCTTGCACTATTGATAAATTTTGTACAATATTTGATTTCTTCCCTCAGGTGTAGTCCCTATACTTCTCCCACCACCACAGCACCTGTGATCCAACACCATAGTCCCTAGTGCTCTTCCCTCCTCTGTTTGTTTGTTTTTTTTTAAGATTTATTTAATTATGCATACAAGAACCAGGGTACAGACCAGAGGTGTGGGGTGTGAGAGGATTCACCAGATACAGAGTGGGGAACAGAACAGGCAGACTGACTGAAATACACTGCTGAAGGGAGCAGCGGGTGAGTCAGGAGAGGCCTGCTGCACCATGTGGGTCACTCCCTGGCAGGCTAGGGATCGAACTTGTGCTGCAATGACTGGCAGTCAGTCCTACTGATCTGCTCCCCACTCTGTCTCTGGTGAATCCTCTCACTTCCCACATCTCTGGCCTAGACCTCAGTTCTTGTATACATACATAAATAAAAATAAATCTTTAAAAATATGAAATTGGATATAAGACCCCAAACCATAAAATACAATGGAGAAACATAGCCAAAACACTTCATTACTTAAACTTCACAGACATCATTGTGAATTTGTCCCCAACAGTGAGGAAAACTCAAATGAATGTAAAAACTAGGATTTCATCAAACTGAAAAGCATAGATCCCTGGGCGTTTGGGGACCTCAAGGAGAGGAACTTAGTGAAAGATACAGGTATTGTAGGCAAAGTCTGATGGTAAGACCTTAAGATGGTCCCCTACCCTAACAAGCAGACTGTTAAGAGCTCAGTCTGATGGCCCTCCCCGGAGGTGCAGCGGTTGAACGCTGGGTTGCGAAGCTGCCCGTGGCCTCTGCAGCGCCGGTTCGATCCCTGGCTGCTCCCCGGCCACTGGAGGAGGGTTCAGCATGGCGCGCAGACCTCTCCTGCCGCCCGCTGCTCCCCTCAGCAGTGTACTTCAGTCCTTCTGCCTGCTCTGCTCCCCGCTCTGGCTCTGGTGAATTCTCTCACCCTCCCGTACTTCTGACTGTACCCAGTGCTTGTAGAATTAAATAAATGAATAAACAAATAAATAAATAATTCTTAAAAAAAAAAAAGCTCAATCTGAGATTCCTCAAGAAAAGTTCCAGTAAAGTCAATTTGAAATGTACGAAATTATATTTTGTTATTGTTGTGCTTATGCAAAAGAACTGGCCAAGTTTACTTACATTAGACTTAACTTGCAAATGATTTTACTGAAATTATTTGGTAGATCTGGAATGAGGGTAGAGAGAAGTTGTTTCAATTTTACATCACTTTCTGGTCTTCAGTGTTTTTTGTTTGCTGATTTTTCCTGTAAATTGCACCAGGTTCCAACATTTTTAATATCTAACATTTTGCGTGTTTGTGTCTGACAGTTTATAGCATCCCACAGACATCCTTTTGCATAACTACTGTCCTGGTGATCAGGTTCTGCTGAAAATTTGGAAAGTGGGAACATCAGATCTGTTGGCTGGTTGGTGGACTTTTCCATGGAAGTACTCTTGGTGACAGAAATGGCAGTAAAGCTTGTTGGAGTCCAGTCTTGGATAAACTACATCAGAGTGAAGAAAATGCCTGAAGATCAGTGGACATCCAAGAGAGTGGAAGATTTAAAACTGACTTTAAAAAGACAATACTGTTTATAATTGTATTAATAACTTCCCCTTTATCCCTCTGGGGAAATATACCATTCAGACAGGAATGATATGTCTGGGTGTATCTGGACACAATGTTCTAAAATATCCCTGACATTTGCCTTGCAGGTGAGACTATGCTGAGCAGACCTTCACATCATACTGAAACCATGCATGGGTAGGGAGACAAAATGTCATAGTTGTTGGGATTTCACCCAACAATGGCATTTGCAGGACACAACTCAGGCTCAGGGTTCAACAAAGACAGGGCACCTAGCTCAGGGCCAATGGTGGCATTCAGCAGGCAGTGTCAGGGACAGAGTTAGAGGTCAGATCTGTGAAGGAACAGTGCCGGAGGACAGGGGTCAGTGTTACAGCTCTATGAAGTTCTTCTCAGGAGAGAATCCAGATAAACTTGATGGATCCAAAACCTCTGGAGGCTGGTTTATATACTCTTCAAGGTGCCCACCTTTCAAACCTGATTGGTCCATTTTACTTGACTGATAGCATTGGGAACTCTAATCAACTTTGTCTGTTTACGGTCACAAATGTTTGATTGGTGCTGATAAAACTGCCCCAGTGTATCCAACCTGACCTATAATGTGGATGGGTTTCAAAACTGAACATCAGGAGCCCCTGTGTCACTAGTGTAAGTTCCAACCTGATTGGTGAAACGGAAACTCCAATTAGATTGGTCCATTTTGAATCCTGTGTTTATTTCATGAGTTCTTCTGACAATATGCCAGGATGGATCCAGCTTTGAGTCACAGACTCAGATTCATCCAGACTCTCTCCTGAGAAAATCTTCATGGAGCTGTAACACTGATTGCTGTTCACAAGCACCTTTTCTGATTTGACCTCCAACTATGCCTCTGACATTGTCTGCTGAATGACACTATTGGCTCTGTGCTAGGTGTTTCTAAAAGAACTGTTTGCTATTGGTTTTATGCCCAGCATCTCTAAGAACTATAAACTGGTCTTTGACTCTGATACATCTAGCACCAACTCCTGGGGCAGTTGTCACATGTCAGTCCAATATATTGTGCTTCCTAGCCAAACTTTTGAATTGCTGCTCCCAGCTTCCATGGTGCCAACTCTGGAGAGATCTTTGCAGAGACCTTTGGCCTTCAAGAGCATCTGCTTTTGAGAATTTTGATCTTTGAGAATTTTGATCTTTGAGACCTACAACCATGGGGACCTTCATATCTGATCTTTGCTTCAAACCACAGCTTCACCATTGCTACTGCCTCTGGCCTTGCCTATAATGCTTTCCTCTCTCCCAAATTCTCTACCTCTATCCCTTGTAAATAAACTGCATTGTTGTTGAACTCTGAGCCCAAGTTGTTCCTGCAATTGCAGTTGTAAGTATATGGGACCCACCAACCATGACATTTTGCATCCCCATCCTTGAGTGGTTTCAGTGCCTTGTAAAAGCATGGTGTGCATTGCACTCATGAATCTTGTTTCAACACTTAGATAAGCCCATGACTAACTTTAATATCTATAATCGAGGGAGGGGGGTCAACTGTAACTAAAAGGTACAGGGAAATGTTCATGTTAAAATTGGCGAATGTCTCACCTGCCAAAGAATGTGTTATTTTCTCAGGATTTAAGAGAGATTGTTTGGATTTGGACACAGAAAATATCATGACTTGTAACACTACCTTCCTGTGTCCTTTGTGGTAGCCCATTTAAAATTATTGGTGAGATTGTTCCTATAATACAACAAGATGGCCTAGTCCTTCATACCAGCAAACATCGCTGGAGGGCCCTGCATAATTGGAGGGATCACAATATTTGTGACCCAGAAAGCCCACATAACTCAGGAATTGAGAAAGAAAACTGAAATTTCCATCCCACGAACTTGCAATGACAACTTGCACTTGTGTAATACAGCCAACTATGTCTCTATAACTATTTTTTTTATGACACATGTTATGGTAAGATTCTTAAATGCAGAAACAGAACACCTGGCTTGCATAATGGTCACAGCCCTGAATGCAGCATCCCAAGCCATTGGGGCCATTGAACTGGAACTAGACCAGGTCAAGGAAGCCCTCCTAGAGCAACAGGGATACTGGACTTCTTACCACTGAGGCACAACCATGTAATGTGAAGAATTTAAAGGGCAGTGTTGTTTTAACCTATCTGCCGATGCTCAACTTTTTGAACAAAACATTAGGACTATTCATGCTATTGTCTCAGACAAAAATGTGGGTGAAATTCTCTGGCTTTGGCTTATCTTTCTTAACCTCCTGGCTCCCAAGCATCATGGGTCTGAGGGTGGCTTTTCTTATCTTTTCGCTGTTTTGTTTTGTTTTTTTTTTTTTTTCTCTTTGGCATACTGCTTGCTGCTACATGCAGTGCAGCATCCTGTGCCAAAGGAGACACAGCCACAGACCTGGACACCTGGTCTCAAGTACATCTAATACTTGAGGGTGATGATATGCACAGGGTGTCATCTTTAACCTAAAACAAACCTTTTAGATATGAATTACTTACTGATTGGGAGTAGGGTTTAATAAGGGTAATTGGAGGGAATATGGCCTGTCTACTTTGAGTTAATTTTCCAGAACACATCTGGAAGAGTGGTTTCAACTAGTACTATCAGAAGATCAGACTCAGCTCACTTGGATGTGCTTGAGACCAGGTGCCCAGGAGAACAATAAGAAGTTCTGGAGATTGAATATCATGAGCTCCTGGCAGGGGCGAAGATCTTCTTACTGCTGAACAGTTTTTTTTTTTTTTTTTAATCCACTGTAAAAAAAAAAAACAACTGGAAATTAAGGTAGTTTCTTTTGAGTGTTAACCACCAATCTTCCACATTGTTGGCTGTCTGAAAAAAACACAGTTTATAAGATTCAATTATTTTCTCTACTTACTGGCATTTGGGGGATACAGGCAGCCCAAACTCTGGACATCTGGTAATATTAATATATATTTATAATTTTTCAGCATAAATTTTTCTTAATATTATCTTCTTCATAGTTTCCTTTATCTGTTTATTTCTAAGACTGTAGATGATGGGATTCAAAAAGGGTGGAACTATGGCATAAAATACAGAAAGAATCATGTCTCGAATTGATTCTGTTGTAACTAAGGGCTTTAGATACACATAGCTACCAGAACTGAGGAAGACCGTGACTACAATGATGTGAGGGACACAGGTGGAAAAGGCTTTTCCTTGCTCTCTTGCTGGAAACTTGAGCACTTTAGAAAATATTCGAATATAAGATATTGCAATGAAAATGATGCAGCTGCCACCAACCCCCATGATAGCGATAAAACTTAAGAGCTCATTGCCGAAGGTGTCAGAACATGAGAGCCTCAGCAGAGAGGGGACATCACAGAAGAACTGATAAATCACATTGGACTGGCAGAAGGACAGGCGGAACGTGTTGCCAGTGTGCACACCTGCATAAATGAGACCACTAACCAGGGAGACTAGTGTCATCCTCACACAAAATTCATGATTGATTATGATTGGGTAGTGGAGGGGCTGGCAGATGGCCACATAGCGGTCATGGGCCATGATGGTAAGGAACAGAAGTTCCACACATGCACAATAAATGACCAAGAAGATCTGACTTGCACACCCAACCACCGAAATGGCCCGGTTGTTAGTGAGAAAGTTGACACAGGCATTTGGGACAGTGACAGAAATGTAGCACATGTCTAGGATGGACAGATTTCTGAGAAAGAAGTACATGGGTGTGTGAAGATTCTGGTCAAGTATAGTGGCAGTGATGATAATAAGATTTCCTATGAGAGTAGCCAAGTACATCAGAAGGAATAGCATGGAGTGCAGCAATCTAAGTTCCCACCTATCAGCAAAGCCCATGAGGAGAAACTCAGTCACCATGGTGTAATTGGCCATTTTCTGTAAATACTTGGTGACCTGGAAAAAAAAAAAAAGGGATTAAAACCATGAAACATATAAGAATGATTAATAAAATGCCCTAAATATTTTCCTTAAAAATGTCTCCTTATATTTTATAAAGTGGTAAGTTGTGGGTAGTGAAGGTCCACTAATTATGATTTGATCTGCTGCAGGTATTACCACTCTGCAAAGACAATATAGCAAAGAGTTAAGGAGGTAGCTCTCAACTTCTATTTTCTTCATCAACTGCTCATTGTGGTTGAGAAATTCCTGTAGTAATAATCTGCTCATAACATTTAAGTACATTAATACAATTTACTAATAAAGAAACATTCTCAAAATACTAAAGTTTGGGCCTCCCCTGGTGGCACAGGCAGTTGAGCGCAGTGCTGTGAAGCTGTCCGCAGCCCCTGCAGCGCTGGTTCAATCCCGGCCAGAGGGTGAGAATCCCACATGGCGAAGCGGACCTCTCCTGTCTTGCCAGCTTCTCCTCTCAGAAGTGTATTTTGTCAGTCTGCCTGTTCTGTTCCCTGCTCTGTCTCTGGTGAATCCTCTCACCTTCCAGCATATCTGGCCTGTACACGGGTTCTTAAATAAATCTTTTTTTTTTTTTTAAAAAAAAGCTAAAGTTTTATATTTCAATAAAGCTTAATTAAAAAAAAATTCATGATTTGTGAGGACCTTCCAAGTCTTTCTCCAATTTCAAATTTTCCTCCCTTGATCCTTGTTTGACAACACTGATTATTCCTGCCATGTCAAACGGTGACACTGAGTCATATTTTATTTTTTAAAAGATTTATTTATTTATGCATACAAGAACTGGGGTGCAGGCCAGAGGTTCAGGGGGTGAGAGGATTCACCAGAGAAAGAGTGGGGAACAAAATAGGCAGATGCACTGAAATAAACTGCTGAGGGGAGCAGTGGGCAAGACAGGAGCGGTCTGCTGCATCATGTGGGTCACCTCCCTGGGCAGGGATCGAACTCTTGCTGCAGTGGCTGAAGATAGCTTTATAGTGCTGCATCTTAACCCCTTGCACCACCAGGGAGGGCCCGATTTATATTTAATGCTTTATTTTCCTTTTCCCATAGATTATTTTAAATTCATTAAAATGTCTCAAATGTGACCCCTTTTATAGAGCCCATAAAACATTTTTCCAAATTTCTTAATATTTCCTCAGACTGGTTCATTGTAACTTTGTGTAGGGCTTCATCTCAGATTTTTTGGCATGGGTCTTAATTTTTTTTTTTGGTGGGGGGCATGGTTCTTAATGTTTTTCTTAGACATCTAATAGATAACTTGGTAGAAATATATACATAATTTCTTTGTCCTTTTCTGTCAAAATCTCAAATTTTAGTATATACATAAGTAATTTTAGTATTCATATATAAAATCGTCTTTAGGAAGCTGAAACTTTTAGTGTAGTCACAGAACACACTTAGAATTCTGAGCTTTGCTCATACTACCACTCTTTTTCTTTCCCTTCACTATCATCATTTTTTCATGATTATTTATTAGTACTTTAAATTTAGCTGAAATGTAACTTTTGTTCTGCAGTCTTCCTTGATAATGTCAAATACATTGTGATAATTTTATATTTTTTCCTCTCACAATTTCATATTTTTAAAGATTTATTTTTATTTATGTGTGTATACAAGAACTGAGGTCTAGGCCAGAGATGTGGGAAGTGAGAGGATTCACCAGAGACAGAGTGGGGAGCAGGTCAGTAGGACTGACTGCCAGTCATTGCAGCACAAGTTCGATCCCTAGCCTGCCAGGGAGTGACCCACATGGTGCAACCTGCCTCTCCTGACTCGCCCGCTGCTCCCCTCAGCAGTGTATTTCAGTCATTCTGCTTGTTCTGTTCCCTACTCTGTCTTTGTGAATCCTCTCAACCGGCCCCACACCTCTGGCCTGTACCCCAGTACTTGTATGCATAAATAAATAAATCTTCAAAAAAAGAGTTTATCGATCTTATTTGATCAGTTTATTGATTTTATTTGATCTTCATAATACACTGATCTATATTTGGACAATTAGGTTGTTTCCCTAGCTTTGCTATAGTAAATAATTCTGTAGTGAACATAGGGATGCTTGTTTCCTTTCAATTTAGGGTTTGTGTTATTTGGGTAGAAACCTAGAAGTGGAATTGCTGGGTCATATGGCAGATCCAATTGTAATCTTTTGAGAAAACTCAATAATGTTATCCATAGAGGCCATCTTAATTTACATATGCACTGACAGTGTTAAGATTTTTGTTTTGTTTTGCCATGTCATCACTAGCACTTACTGTGTTTAATCTTTTTGCTATAGGACATTATAACAGGTGTGATTGATATGTTATTGTGATTTTGTGCTTTTAGTACCAATTATTTTTAATATCTTGCACTTTTATTTCTATTTATTTATTTATGATTTATTTATTTGTTTGTTTGTTTATTTATACAAGCACTGGGTACAGTCAGAAGCACTGGAGGGTGAGAGAATTCACCAGAGCCAGAGCAGGGAGCAGAGCAGGCAGAAGGACCAAAGTACACTGCTGAAGGGAGCAGCAGGCGGCAGGAGAGGTCTGCACGCCATGCGGGACCCTCCTCTGGTGGCCTGGGAGCAGCCGGGGATCGAACCAGCGCCACAGAGGTTGTGGGCAGCTTTGCAACCCAGCGATCAACTGCTGTGCCACCGGGGAGGCCCTATTTATTTATTTTTAAAGATTTATGTATTTATTAATACAAGCACTGGGTACACTCAGGAGCACGGGAGGGTGAGAGGATTCACCAGAGATAGAGCGGGGAAGAGAACAGGCAGACCGACAAAATACACTGCTGAGGTGAGCAGCAGGCGTGGTAGGAGAGGTCTGTGCGCCATGTGGGACCCTCACCTGGCGTCCGGATCAAACTGGTGCTGCAGAGGCTGCGGGCAGCTTCGCAGCCCAGCGCTCAACCGTTGCGCCACCAGAGGAGGCCCAATATCTTGTACTTTTAGTACCAAGCATTTTTCATGAATAATGACATATAACTCAATATATTTTTACATAACTGACAAATAATATTCTTTTCCATGTTAATCATGCACACATGACTGGTTCCAAAAGGATTTCACTGTTTCTGCCATATATCACATGTGGATATCATACTAAAGCCTTATTTAGTTTTTCAATAAATGTTTATCCTTAGAAGCTTAAATCCAATATATCAATCTGAAGATAATAATCGAAATATTCTGCATGCAAAGGGCAACAGTTTAATTGTTAACTTCTATTTATCCCTAAGAAATTATATTAAACTATCCATCATCTTTATTTCTGTGGCCTAATTTATTTTATTCTATTGTTGTTTCAAGATAACAAGTGTCAAATGTCTACATAAAATAGGTGTAATCTAAATTGCAATTTGTTTTATGTGATTGTTATCAAAATGTAAGTAAGAATAAAGTCCTTCAGACACTGGGCTCTTTCGTGTAAGAAGGGAAATATTACTGTTTGTAGGATTTTATTTTAGTGAAAGAAAACTATATTGCACACATAAGAAAAATCCAAAAAGTAATCCTCATTAGAGAAAGTAAAAATATCTATAAAACTTGTTCCTTTTTCAAAATAGAATTGTAGAGACTTACTCATACTCACTCACCATTTTTATGACACCAAAATAATAAGTTTTCCATTAGCCAGCTTAAATTAAAAGGATATGATTTATTAGCACTCTTATGTAAGTCATTAAGTTACATTTTGAAGCCATTTGCAGCAACAACATGGATGAAATGAGATGATTATGCCAAAATAAGTAACGAGCAAGACAAATACTATATGAAGTCACTTATATGTAGAATATAGAGAAACAAAACAAAGGATAAGGTAAAATCAAACCAATAACAAACTTCAGAAATCTAACTTTAATTGAGGTTACTAAGAAGAGGAGGGTGGAGAACATAAAGGGGAGGAAACACAATGAACTATGATAAGAGGGTGGTGGTGGTGGGTGTGGTGCGGTAACATATACCTGAAGAGTATGATCTTATACTCGTATATCATATACACTGTTGTAAACCAATGTCACCTCAACCAACCAACCAACCAGCCAACTAATCAATCAATAAATAAATCACAATTTGAAAATGTCCTTTCTTCACTTGTTTTCTTCTTTATGTGTGAGTACTATTGTTGTTTATTATTTAGAACTATTATTGTCTTGTATGAAAAAGGAATACTAACCTCCCTCTTTGATCCATCATCCCTGTGTCCCTGTATATTTTTTTATCATGTATCTCTATCAGAAAGATTTTGAGCACTCAAAAAATAAATATAAAAATGTAAAGTACCTCACTTCCCATTTATATAGAGGAATAAAGGAAACATTAAAATGTCCATTTGGGGCCTCCCCGGTGGCGCAGCGGTTGAGCTCTGGGTTATGACGCTGCCTGCAATGTCTGTAGCGCCGATTCGATCTCCGGCCACCGGGGAGGGTCCCACATGGCGCACAGACCTCTCCTGCCGCCCGCTGCTCCTCTCAGCAGTGTTCTTTGATCCTTCTGCCTGTTCTGCTCTCCACTCTGGCTCTGGTGAATTCTCTCACCCTCCCCGCGCTTCTGACTATGCCTAGTGCTTGTATAAATAAATAAATAAATAAATAAATCTTAAAAAAAAAAAATAATAATATTTGAAAAAATAAATAGGGCCTCCCCAGTGGCACAGCGGTTGAGTGCTGGGTTGCGAGGCTGCCTGCGGCCTCTGCTGCGCCAGTTCGATCCCCGGCTGCTCCCCGGCCACCAGAGGAGGGTCCCGCATGGCGCGCAGACCTCTCCTGCCGCCCGCTGCTCCCCTCAGCAGTGTACTTTGGTCCTTCTGCCTGCTCTGCTCCCCTCTCTGGCTCTGGTGAATTCTCTCACCCTCCCGTGCTTCTGACTGTACCCAGTGCATGTGTAAACAAAACAAACAAACAAACAAATAAATAAATAAATGAATAAAAACATGCCTCTATAAAAAAAAAAAAAAAGAAAGAAAAAA